TATATTAAATTACACGGTTATATGTTGAGCATAATTACACTAATATTATATTCACGGTAATATTAATTGAGTAATTACTCGATTACGGTAACTCCATTAATGATATGTTTAATTACCATTTAGTAATTACCATATGGAGTGAACAATTACCATTTTCTCTAGAACACCAAATGGGCGGGAAAAGAAAAATGAGAATCCATGGCTTTTTAAATAATAGATAGATAATAATAATAATAATAATATTTTTATTATTATAAAATTGTTTGCTTAGGTTAGCAATTATTATTGTTAATTTTTTTTTATAGAAACCAAGAATGACACTGCAACACTTACCATTGATTAAATTAAAATGGAAACATATTAATTAGTAATTAACCGAAATTAAACCAAAAATGGCAAGTAATACTTACCATGTAAGGAGTCACACGAAACATAGCATTCAATAGTATCCATATATGCTTCACATGTATTAAGGCAAGATAATTAAAATACTAAACAGTTTCCATATATAAGCATCACGTATGGGCGGGAAAAAATTCCCCTCGCTTTAAGTATAGTATAGATATATATATATATATATATATATATATATATATATATATATATATATATATAACAACCATTTTGTGTGTGTACTTTTTATTTTTTTAATTCTACCTACACGATTTTTCATATAAAATAATTTAAAATAACTTCAGTCAAATATTCTAACGTGCAACGGAAAAGATAATGTTAGAACAGAGGGAGTATTTTACATTTCTTGGCTCTCCAATGGAGTAGGGAAATTGTACGCCGTAACAAACTTGATATTTTAACAAACATAATTGCTATATATAACAACCCCATTTGTTATATATCTCAAACATAAAAGTAAATTATATTTTATATTTTACCCATAAATATGAGTAGTCCAAAAGTATAAAATATATATATCTTTTATTAAAAATATAATTATAGAATAATAAAATATAAATAGGTATCATGTACATTTCATGGTTGGAAAAATGGTTAAAAAATGAATACATAAATATTGTATGGGTGAAGGACCAAAATAGTAGTAAAACATATGCCATATGCTCAAAATAAGAGTTGAAACATAAACTCCCCTAAATAGGAGTAATTAACTTAATTAATCTAATGGCTTAGAGTTAAGGAATGAAATAGAAGTAAAACATTGACCACGTAACAAAATAAAAGTTATAATCATATTACAAATATGAAATTAAATACATTATATAAATTTAAAAAACTTAAATTAGCTACAGCCCCTGCCCCACATGCCACTGTCGCCACCCCTGCCGCCATCGCCGCTACTGTCATCGCCGTCACTCCACCGCCACAATCTCCTGCCACCATCGCTATTAAATGCGGTCACCATCTACATTGTTGCTACCAGTCCTGCCACTAACATCGCCACGGTCGGCACTATCGCCGTCATCGCCACCATAATCTGTTGCTCTCATCCCCATTTGTGGCGAATGCCGCCTCTATTTGTTGTTGTCAATGACGCAATTTACTACCAACGTTGTGATCAAGATTGCCATTGTCGCCACCATAGTGCCATGGTGTCACTGCCAGGGTAAAGGTTTTCATTAATACAATGTCAATCAAAGCCACAATGTCAAAAACGATAATGCATACTGACAAACATGTCATTGCATAATACCAAACATGTTATTGCATAATGTCAAATATGTCAACATAAAATATCAAAAAGAAAGTGAAATGTCAATATTGGCAACATACAATATCAAATTTTTGTCACCATCACCAAATTTTGCTGAAATTGGGAACAAATTAAAATCTAAACACCTTAAGAAAAAATGTGGAGAGATAATTACTGTAAATGAAAATGCAATTAGTGTAAATAATTATCACCTTAAGAAAAATGTGCTGGGGGCAGTGGGGGTAGGGGAGGGGGCATAATTGATGCATGTGAAGAGCTTTCAAGTGGCATTATTATTATTATATAATTACGATGGAGTAATAATAATAATAATAATAATTATTATTATTATTATTATTATTATTATTATTATTATTATTATTATTATTATTACTCCATAATGGCAGCCATTTAAGACTCTTCCCTTTTATGACGTAAATATAAACATTTCGTATAATTGCAATTGCTGCAAGGCTAATAATGATGGAATTTGCACTATTATTCATGGCGCTAAAGACTGCACTTGACTTCAAATTCTTTAGACTTAATTAATTACTCCTATTTAGGGGAGTTTAAGTTTGAGCTTCTATTTTGAAGATATGACGACATATGTTTTACTCCTATTTAGGGGGTTTTCTTATATTGTATTTGGGATACATTTTTTTTAACTACCATATATTAGTATGTGTGAAAAAATGGTGACATATCTCTGTGATGTGAGGAGGAAGCTAGGGGAATTAATTCTTGAAACCCCAATAATTAAACAGTCCATGTTTCCCCAAAGTTAAAGGAAGCCCCATCATATATAGATTAATGAACTAATTATTTCTAAAATCACTATTCCAAAAAATTTAATTAATTGCCTGCAAATGGAATGGATCAATGTGATGGATATGAAGGTGATTTAGAGCATAAGTAAAGCAAGAATGATTGATTAGAGAAAAGAGCTAGGGAATACTTGCTAAAGTGGTGCATCTAATCCTCCCTATTTCCTCACTAATAAGAATACCCAAATTAAATCTAAAGAAATTAATTAAAGTTGAACTTGCGGCAGAATCTAGGCTTCTTAAAACTTATATTCCCCCTGATCAAATTACAGAAAGACTAATATATCCCCACATCATTTAATTAACTAATTTATATCCTATCTTATCCTATCTGCACAAGTGCACAACAAAATAAAGAGCCAATGTAAGAATAAAATTATATAATCATACATTCATAATTATATTCATCATCATGCTCCAGCTTCACGTACATATATATATGCTCTGCATGCAGTTTGTTGCGTATAGATATATTTCCCTCCCATCTCATCAACTCTTCTTAAAGCCATGAAATACAATGAAATATGCCACTTTAGCCACCCACAACACAAGATGGGATTCGAGTACTCGGAGTTGCCGTTCAAGTGCGATGGGTGCAAGGAGGCGGGGATCGGGTCCCGCTACAAATGCGGGACCTGCGACTACGACCTCCACTTGCACTGCGCGGTCCCCGCCTCCGCCATCGCACACCCTTTCTACCCCAAGTGTTCGTTCCAGTTCTTGGCACGGCCCCCAGGGAGCGTGCCGAGGTACTGCAACGCATGCGAGAAGGACATTTCCGGCTTCCTTTACCACTGTAACTCGTGTGGATTCGATCTCCACCCGTGCTGCGCCAAGCTCCCCACGGTGCTTCAAGATGGTGAAGTCAAGCTTTATTTGTACCGCAAGGTACGTACTTCTGAATAGTAACTTCTAAATTCTTACAGTGTCATATTGTTAAATAAGAAGAAATATTTGCACTGAATAGCACTAAAATTTAAGTCATTTCTCTAAATAGCACTTAAATGGTTTTATTCCCTAAATAGCACTTAATAATGTCTATAATGACTAGTGATGGCAAATATTTACTTGAATAATGTCTAATGGATAATGACTAAAAGTGCTACATTGGGAAAAAAAGACATGTAATAATGCTATTTAGGGAAAGTCATTGTGTTTTAGTGCTATTTACGTAAATTCCTCTTGTTATAATCCAATAGTTCTTTTTGAGAATACAAACATGTCACTCTTCTTTTTGGTGATTTCTTTTTTTTTTCTAATTATATAATGCAATATTTACATAAATTCATGAGTAATTTACTTAAATAGGACTAAAACATAATGACTTTCTTAATATAGGACCATATGTTTCTATTTCCCAATGTAGGACTTTTGGTCATTATGAATTAGTCATTATTCAAGTAAATGTTCATCATTACTGGACATTATTCCTCCCACTAAGACATTAATAGGTCTTATTTAGGGAATAAAAAAGTTTAAGTCCTAGATTAGGAAAGGCATTATGTTTTAGTCCTATTTAGTGCAAATTTCACTAAATTCATACTCTACTAGTTCTAGTCCAAATTGTGAGAGATTTAATTTTTTTTGGAGAAATTAAGATTTCAAAATGAGTATCACAATTTTAAAAGAAAGAAGTATCTTAAACCACAGGCATATTCTTTTCTAAAAGAGGAAAGAAAGACTAAAAACTTTTGTGAAATGGATGGAGGGTAATATATACTCCCTCCGTCCCTTAAAAAACTTCCCAATTTGATTTTTAAAAGATTTAATGAGAGTGTATTTTGGTGTTAACTTTCCAAAAATGCTCTTTGATGGATAAAGTATGATGTGATGGGTAGATTAATAGAGAAAAAGTGTGATGTGATAGGTAGGTTAAAAATTAATAGGGGTAAAAGTGACTTTTTAATAGGAAAAGAGAAGTGTTTTTTGGGACGGATGAAAAAAGAAAGGGGAAGGGTTTTGTGGGACGGAGGGAGTATTTGATTTAGTAAAATTTTTAATAGACTAAAAGTTGGGTTTTTGGCATATAGGTGAGCGCGTCGTGCCACCGGTGTGGGAGGAAGGGGAGGAGTTGGAGCTACCGGTCGACGTGCAAGAAGTACAACCTGCACGTGGCGTGCGTGAAGGAGATGCTGGTGGACATATGGCATGAGATTTACTATGGGAGCAGAGGTATTAGTGCTAGTTGTGGGAGTGGTAGCAGCAAACCGGAGGCAGCAATTCCGAGCTTGAAGGGAACCTTGCAGACGTATCATAGGAAGAGCAAAGGGAACAAAGTGCAAAGGTGCTGTGAGATGGCTGTTCTTGCTCTCCAGTTTGTCATTTCTGCTGTTCTTGGGGATCCTACTACTCTCATTGCTGGTGTGGTTGCCGCACTCATGTCTAGATAATGTTTCAGTACAGTCTATATGAATCATCATATCAATGGACTAATCCTATACTTGGAGTATATATTATCTTGTATCAATCATATTCAATCAAACATATGTGCATGCATGATGCATGCACCATGTATGTGCATAAATGGGAAAATGTTATTACCATTTCTGATCCCCTACTTGTATAAAAATAGACTCATGTCCGTGCATTGCACTGGGAAAAAAATATGCTACTCTCTCCGTCTCACAAAAATTTTCTGATTTTGACTTTTAAGAGATTTAAATGGGTGTGTTTTGATCTAGACTTTTCAAAAATGCCCTTGGATGTGATGGGTAGATTAATAGTTAAAAAGTGTGATATGATAGGTAGGTTAAGAATTAGTATGGATAAAAGTGACTTTTTAATAGAAATTAGAAAGATTTTTAAGGATGGATAAAAAAAGAAAGGAGAAAGGTTCCGTGGGACGGAGGGAGCAAAAAATTAGGAAAAGTTTTCATGAAGGAAAGTTATAAAAATACAAAAACATGAGAAAATATATAATCAAATCTTGAAGAAAAAGGGAAATATACAATGACACAAAAAGTGGATCCATAGCATTATACATTTTGGAAAATTTCTTTATAAACTGCATTTATAGTTTGGTTCGACGATCCAATTAAGTTCTTCATTGTAAATTAAGATCTTTAATCCATTGTGATTTGTGACACGTAAAATTGCCACATAAAGCTGGCCATGAGTGAATAAAGACTTCTTAAGTAGAAGCCCAACATGCGACAAAGATTGACATTGACTTTTATTAATCGTCATTGCATATGAAATGATAATTGGGAATTGTTTCCTTTGAAACTTAAATGGAATTATTGTATCTCACGGTGTAAGCAACAACCGTCCGATAACAACTTCTTGACCAATATATTTCTCTGTTAGCACTGTCCCTTGAATAAGATGATTACCGAGCCGAGTAACTATCAACTTTGTTCCATTGCACAAACATGTTGATTGGTCAATATTCCTCAAAAACATGATAGGTGTTCTGACCTTTAACTTCAATTCATGATTTTGCACACCCGATGCTCATATCTTATTTAGAAATCTAGGAGAATGCAAGTCTGTTAAGAAATCTACATTAGAATCAGACTTACACACCGCATCAGAGCTCAAGTAACATTTTGCTTCTCCCACGTTGTTGTTCAATGAGGTCATGTATTCAATTATTTCATCCACAATGTATAGGGTTGGGATGGTGCAAGGATTGCCCGACTTTGCAAATATGTTGGATCACTTGCATATTGTAGAAGTCTGGATAAGTAGAATTCACTATTGAGGCAATTGGATCAATGGTGTTTTTAACAACATATCTTCAGGGATAATGGCCTCACTAACTCCATCATTTTCTCCTCCGGCCAAGCCATCACCAATACTTGCAATGCACTCAGCAAATTCTATCATGCTCTTAAAATTGTTATCGTGAGACATATGCTGCAAATACATGTTTTTTTGTCAAACGTAAGACAGTGCAATAGTTCCATAAATATGAAGAGTTAATGGTACCATTGATAATGCCTTTTCTTCTTTCTTTAGGAATGAAGGGTAGAATTTGACAAAAATCCTCTCCCAAAACACTTGTCTTCCCTCCAAAAGGCAGTCTGCATTTGATGGATTACTTACGGTCATCACATCACATAGACTTTTATCAAGAGCTTCGAAACAGTACTTGTGTGTCATTGGTGCTGCGTCCCATATTGTAAATTTGCTCCGAACAAATAATTCTACCAAAGGTGTTCCTTGTCTAATATTACAGGTGGAATTTTCATGGGGATTAATTGGAATAACAATCCGTGAGTGCGCAGTTCTTCCACGAGGTAACAATAATGAGGCATTACCACTGAAAAAACATTTAAGACGATCTCTCCTCTTGAACGTATCGAAGCAAACACAGTTTTTTACACAAGTCTTTCCATTTCCACCATAACCGTTGACGGAGATTAACCCCACATCAGCCTGATATTGGGACCAAGGTCAGACCCCACGACCAGGTAAGCTAGAAGAGAGCCCCCAAAAGGGGACGAGCTTTGTACTCTGACCTCGGCTCGGTAGGAACAGGCTTGGCTCGAACCTCGAGCTCCTAGCCTCTCTGCTCGGACCAGACGATAAGGACGGGATGACAACGACCAGATAAAAGGGACTATACAACGAGGACCCGGTGACGTCGGCTAGACGACAATGTACCAGGCACAGAGGTTGACTTTGTAGTATCGTTGAATGTATAAATAAGCCAAAGCCTTCTCATTGTAAAGGATCCGATTTCAAGCTAATAATACATTCACTTTGCACTCTCACTCACTCTACCTTTATTTTCCTAAGCTTACGTAGCTCACCGACCCCACGGTCGGTATACTCGGTGGTTTATTTCCATCAAATTGGTGCTCTCGTTGAGAGGAGAGAAACATACTTGTAGGTTAACTCCCTAGAACGAGAATGGTGCAAACAAAGAGCAACATTCCCACCACCAGCCACATCCCCGGTGAGGGGAACAGCCCGGGCAACAGCAACGGGACCAGGGCGATTACCTCAACTCCCGACGCAGTCCAAGGCCTGTTTGGGATGGGAGTTACTGTGGAGCATCTTCACGCTACCATTGCAGCCCTCTCCGCCATTGGCGGAAGCGGGCGCGGCATTGGAGCCACCCAGGCTCTAGAAGACCCGATTACCGAACACGCTGCCACTTCCCAACACAAGGGGAAGAAGACCCGAAGGAGCCAGAGGAGGCTCGGAAAGTCCCTGGTGATAAAGGAAGTGCTGGTGGAAGACATCCCTGAAGGGGGGATGATGACTCCAGCGAGGGTCGAGTGTTAGCTATCAAGAGGCTGGGGGAGAGGAAACCCGTGTGTCAGCTTTTGACAGGCTCAACCAAGGGCGCGATGGCCGCCAAGGCAATTTATGCCGGCTGATCTCAGAGGGAACGCAGAGGCATGACGAGGAGTCGGCCACCTCAGATGTCTCGTTTCTCATCTCACACTCGGATGCCGACTGGGTCAGCTGCCCAGATACATACTAGACGCTCCACATCCGGGTATTGCATCTTTCTTGGTAACAATCTTCTTTTGTGGTCGTCAAAGCGCCAGTCAACAGTCTCACGGTGGCAGAGTATAGGGGGTAGCCAATGTCGTGGCCGAACTTTGTTGGATTAGAAATTTGCTTCCTGAATTAGGTCTTCCGTCTAAGCGCACCTTTATTGTCTATTGTGACAATATTAGTGCTATTTATATGACCAGTAATCCAGTTCGTCATCACTGCACAAAACTTCTTGAGATAGACAAACATTTCGTGTGCGTGAAAAGGTGCAAGGAGGTCAAATACATGTTCTTCATGTCCCTTCAAGATACAATTTTGCTAACATCTTTACAAAAGGCCGGCCACGCATCTTGTTCACAAACTTCCGCTCTAGTCTAATTATCAAGAAACCTCCTCCTCAAACTAAGGGGGTATATTAGAGTACTAGACTAGATGCATTGATGTTCCTGGAGTACCCCAACAACCAGGGGGCGTTGAGTGTGATTATTATACCATGCAATTTTTATGGCTCATCGTCACTATGTGTGCACAATGTTATTTACCGTTATACGATGTAAGTTTATTTTAGTGTGTTTTTGAAAGTAATGAAGTGTTTATCATCATTTTCTTTTTCATAGATTATTAAACTTTATGTTCTATGTTGTTTTCGTATCGCAGGTGTTTCAATCTACTTCGCCCTATACCGTAGCCGAATTAGAAGAAGTTAGAGAGTTTAGGGTGGGGGGTTTTCTCGATGAACTAGTGTAAGTTTTGTATTGTATTGTATAGTATTAGTTGTATGTTATTAGAAGAGTATAGTTGCTTGACTCTTAGTTGTGGTGTTAAAACTTAGTTTGTAAATGTTGATATTTTTTAAGATGTACACGTGATGGATGCAAATATTTACTTTTTTGGTTTAATTTGTTTTGTGGCATTTGGGTTTTGTGAATATATTTGTATTCGTTGTTGTTGAATCTGTAATTTTGCACAGAATTCTGTGCAAAATTGAAAATGTAGTGGATTGTGAGCAAACAAAACAACTTGTTGAGAATATAATTATCATTAAAATCGGTTATTTGATTAAAAATCGATGCAAATGTCCCTTTTTCATTTCTGGGAATAGGCATTTGCATCAGTTATTAGGTAATAACCGATGCAAATGCCTCTTCCCAGAAATGGGAAAGGGGCATTTGCATCGGTTATTACCAAATAACCGATGCAAAAGCCTCTTCCCAGAATTGGCGCCAATTCTGAGAAGAGGCTTTTGTGTCGGTTATTAGGTAATAACTGATGCAAATGCTTATTCCCAGAAATGGTGCCACTGGGAAGAGGCTTTTGCATCAGTTATTATCAGATAACCGATGCAAAAGCCTCTTCTCAGAAGTGGCGCCAATTCTAGGAAGATGCTTTTGCATCGATTTAACAACTAATGCAAAAAGTAACCTGAGCATTTGCATCTATCACTGGCTTTTGCATCGCTTCAAAACCGATGCAAAAAGGTAAAAATAACTGATTTAAAAGGTCTTTTTTGTGGTAGTGGGTCATAAAATGGTCCGTATTGTATGTATATAATGTGCCAAGATATGAGAAGGAACATAAGATTGATTCATATTCCTTTATAATGAATTAGATATAGTATCACTAATACTCCCTCCGTCCTAAAATATTCTTTTCGTTTCTGTTTGACCAACTTTATTTTCAGTTCAATTTATTTGATTGTAGGTGTAAAACTAAAAAAAAAAAATTATATATTTAAAAACTACATCAAAAATTTTACAAAATCAGAGATGACAAGACTATACTATTTTTTCAAATAACTAACGAAAATAAATAAATAAATTTATTCAAAATTGATTGTAGAAATAATAATTGGGAAGAACACTTTAATACAAATGAAAAGAATCTCGTACACTTTATAAATGTGTACAGATTAGCTAAAGGCTGTCTGAGAAATAATGCATTCGATCTTCTTCCACGATCGATCCATGCTGGACCAACTGTGTAATCCAGTACTAAAATCCATCCATATACACACACCCTGTCCCATTTATTCTGCGCAGTATTTAAATCTCGTTTTTATTTTCCTTTTCTTTTAGTCCACTCTTTTATTTTCTTATTATAATTTTTTCTTGCATTTAAGTTTAATTTGCCCAGGTTTTTTTCTATGTAATATAGGAAAAAAGATTATAGTAGAAGTAAAACATTAAAAATATTAAAAATAAAAATTCTTTGTTTTTATTCTCGAACTTGGAGTTATAATGCATTTACAAAGTCAATCATAATCATATACGTTACTAAAAGGTATTCTGAAATGTTTACATTCAGTGTCAAATTGATCACAATGCGAATTTCTATTTTGGGATAAAATATAGAGGTCTTATTTTGAAATTGGTATTTATGGTGATTTCTTATTAACACTTACTGGTTGGGTCTTATAAAAATGTTCCTCTTTTTTTCTTAAAAAGTGCTACGGAATATTTTCCTTTTAAAAGAAACAAACTAAGAAGTTCTTGTCATTTCTTTTTACATCCGATCTATTTTCACACTTGAATAAATTTTATTATTTGATAAATGTAATCGATCTTCTATAGATATGCATGTATTATTGCATATTGACATTCGAATGGTATTTTTTAAACGATTAAAATAACATTTTTTTCAAAAAATATCACCTGGATAAATGTAAAAAGTATAAAAATACCAAAATATGAAGTCTTTAGAACTAAAATAGGAGTATGATGGCAGTGTAGTGTAAGAGTACACGTTGACAAAATTAATAATAACCAAAAATGTATACTAATAAAATAAGTAAATAATAAATAATACGGAGTAATAAAAATAAAGAAGTAAATATAAAAATATATAAAATTAAAATGAAATCCAAAAATAATAATATAATAAAATAAAAACCCATAATAAAAATAATAAAAAAAAATTATAGAAGAAAAGGTAAGAATAAATAATAGTAAATAATTATAATAACAAAATACATCAATCAATTAATAATGAAAAATCATAGTAATAAATAATATACTCCGTATAAAATAATGTGTGTGTGTGTAGATATATATATTCAATAAGAAAATAAAAAATTTAAAATGTAGGATAAATAATAAAAAAAATATAAAAAATAAAATGAAATCATTAAATAAAAAATACTGATAATAATTTGAAAATACATAAAAACAAGTTTAAAAATGAAAAATATAAATAAAATATTGAAAATAAAACATTCCCTTCCCCTCCCAACCATGGAAGGTGAAGGGAATCCTTCCCCTCCCTTCCCATTCCCTCCCCTCCATTCCAATCAAACATACCCTAAAAGATTACCACATTTTGACTTTTTTGGTCAAACTGTGGCACCTTATGATAAATATTATGATAAATTGATATTTCAAAACTATATTTTAAAATAAACTCAATTTTACTAAATTTACATTATAACTTAATATCTTTTTCATAATTTATAGTCAAAGGGTGCCACAGTTTGACCAAAAAAGATAAATTGTGGCAATCTTTTAGGAATGGAGAGCGTAGTTTTTACTCTTATCTAGAAAGTTCTCCCTTATTTCATTACAGAGTAAGGTCATGTTCTCTTTACTTGATCTAAATGCTTTTGATCTGATTGGAATAAGTTTTGATTTGATCTGATCTGACCTGACTGTAGTTATGTTTAAAATTGTTTCTGATCTGCTCTGGCCTGATATAAACTGATTCTAATAAGAAAAGGTAATAAATAATAAGAATGAATTGAAGAGAACAAGACCTAAGTTCTATAACTAGTCGTCCTTTATAATAGACAAAGGTTGCAATTTTCCATATTTAGTCTTTTATTATCAAATATTAAGTTCGTAATTTTTCTTTTAAAGGTATTTTCCACGAGCAATCATTTTTTGACCTTCTATCATGTTGGAGTAAAATTGAGGACGAAAAGTATAATTTCACATCGACCTTATATCTAGGGACATATTTTAATATCGGCTTGATAGACAACAAAATACTAATAACTATAGTTGTAGATTAGGATTTTGACTAGATACGATATCTATAGACTATGGGTATAGTAGACAACGACTCCAGTTGACAAACGACGCATTAACAGCGACCTCTGGCATTGATTTTGACAAGAAAAATAAATTATCATCGTGTAATTATATTACACTTATAGCTTTCAATTTAACATCAATTTATCAAAAAGTAAAAAAAGTATTCATGAAAAGATACTCATAAAAGAAGAATCATAAAAGTGATACGGAGTATTTTATAGTGTAAATTCCATAAAAAGTCCCCAGTTATAGGTCATTTTACATATTTAGTCCCTACATATCAAATATCAATAATTTAGTCCCCAATTATTATATTGTTTTCCACAAATAGTTGTTTGTTAACATTTACGTTAAGGACATCGATAAAATTATATATTCACACTCCTCTCTCTCTCTTCAATTAAGCTTCTCTTCTTCCTCTTCAATTAAGCTTCCTCCCTTCTCTCATACTCATTCACAAATCCGTCGTTGAGTTTGAAACTCTAAACCCAAATCCAAAATGATCACTCCTCTCTCATTTGTTCATCTTCCTGGTGGAACTCAAAATTAAAGCCAATAACCTTCATGGATGAGTTTTAATTTATAGGTTAGTCTCAGGAAATTGCAAAGAAAACAAACCTAAAAACTCATCCATGAAGGTTACTAGTTTCGATTTTGGATTCCACCACGAAGACGAACAATTGAGAGAGAAGTGATGATTTCAATTGAGGAGAGAGAGGAGTGTGAATTTATAATTTTATCATATTTTTAGCAATAGAATTATTAGTGTTAAAAAATAGAGACTACTAAATAAACTAATTAAAAAAAAGTCAAGAAATATAATGTGGCCGGCGACGCTTAGGTGGAAATTGGAATAGCTTCGATTGGTACAATAATATGTCGAAAGATGATGGTAGTTTTCAGCTACC